GCTCCTAGAGCTTGGTATGAAAGATTGTCAAATTTTTTAATTGAAAAAGGTTTTTCAAAAGGGAAGGTTGACACTACATTGTTTTTGAAGCATAAAGGTAAAGATTTATTAGTAGTTCAAATTTATGTTGATGATATAATATTTGGTTCTACTAATGATGTTCTTTGCCAAGAATTTTCTAAGCTAATGCAAAGTGAGTTTGAGATGAGCATGATGGGGGAGCTCTCATTTTTTCTTGGGACTCCAAATCAAGCAAAGAAAAGATGGCATCTTCATCAATCAAGCTAAGTACGTCAAAGATATGCTCAAGAAGTTTGGACTGGAAAATGGGAAACCTCATGACACTCCAATGAGCTCTTCAACAAAGCTTGAATTAGATGAAGGAGGTAAATGTGTAGATGTTAAATTATATAGGTCAATGATTGGATCTCTACTTTATCTAACTGCAAGTAGATCGGACATTATGTTTAGTGTTTGTTTATGTGCTAGATTTCAATCATGCCTTAAAGAATCACATTTACTAGCTGTTAAGAGAATCTTTAGATACCTTAAGGACACTCCTAGTTTAGGACTTTGGTATCCTAGAGACTCTAGCTTTAGCTTGCATGCTTTTTCTGATGCGGATTATGGAGGATGCAAATTAGATAGGAAAAGCACCTCCGGTACTTGCCAATTCCTTGGAAATATGCTAATTTCTTGGTTTTCAAAGAAACAAAATTGTGTTGCATTATCTACCACTGAAGCCGAATACATTTCAGCTGGTAGTTACTGTGCACAAGTTTTATGGATGAAACAACAACCTTTTGATTATGGAATTGAAGTAGGTACCATTCCTATCAAGTGTGACAATACTAGTGTTATTTGTCTCACTAAAAATCCCATCCAACACTCTAGAACCAAGCACATTGAAATAAGACATCACTTCATTAGAGACCATGTCACTAAGGAAGATGTAGTTCTAGAATTTGTTGATACTTTGCACCAATTAGCGGATATCTTTACAAAACCTTTAGACAAGGAACAATTTTGGACACTTAGGAGAGAATTAGGTTTGACCAATCTATCTTCACTGAGTGTTTAAAATAATTTTAGCACTTTTAATAATAAATGAAAAGTGCTTATAATAATAATTTTTGATTGCATTCATTGCTATTAGTTAGGGGGTTTATGATTCTTGATAAAAAAAATTAATTTTATGTTCAAATATCGTTTAAAGATTAATTGAATTGTTTGAACATGATTAATTTTCAATATATGAGTTGACAATACCACTAGAGGAAATTAATTTAGCATTTTGGGTGTTTAAAATCGGATTTTAGCATTTTGGTGCAGAGGGAATCGATCCCCCCTTGAGGGAACCGATTCCCCCTTTGAAGGGGAACCGATTCCCCCCACAGGGGAATCGATACCCCACTGGGGTTCTGGTTTTAACACGGGCAGAACCCAATATTTGCTCAAACCTCTCTTATTTTTCTCTCTTCTGCCGTTCCCTCTCAACTCTCTCCCTATCTCCATTCTTGCCTCAAATCATCAATTTTAATCAGAATTCATTTCAAATATCATCTCCTAAACTTGCAATCATCATTAAAATCGTGCAAACAACATCAAAATCCACTCAATCTCATCCTTCAAGGTAAAATTTTCTAAACTCCCTATTTTATTGATTTTGAACATAGGACTTGTTTTTAATTAGTTCTAGGATGAACTTTAGATCGGGCATTGATTGTTTAGTGATTAGAAACTAGATATTACAACCAATTTCATCAAAAACACAATAATTTTCCAGATTTTTTTAAATTTTCGAAATTAAAAAAAATGTTAATTTTCAAATTATTGTGTTTTGATTAAATTATGTTGTTGTTATGAAAACTATACATATATTGTTTCTCAAAACCATATTTTTCAAAAGTTTTTCAAAAACTTTGCCCATTAGAATTGATTTAGAGAACCTTGAAATATTGAGAACTCAATTGAGTTTTGGGATTGATTGAATTGCATACATGTGTTTTCTAAATTGCAGGTTATCAATTCTATTCCGATTTCCTAAACCATGTCAAATCCTAAACGTGCTAGGTTTTCATCTAGTCGTTCACACCGTCAACCAAATCCACCTCCAAATCCTCCACCTATTCTAATTCATAATCCTAATCCTATTGATGCTAATTTGACTATCCAAAATTCGTGTTTCAATCATCCTGGTCCTAGAAATCATCGTTTTTGGTATTATCAATATTTTGACTCTTACAAAATCCGGGAAGAACGTATTCCTTCTCGTCAAGCTATGTTAGCTATCAATTTTAAATATCTTCCTCTTTTACAAGAGTGGAAATTTGATAAACTCTTTGACCTTGAACCCATCGTTTACCATCAACTTGTTCGTATTTTCTATTCTAATGCCGTTTGTGTTAAAAACCAAACTGAAACCGAAACCATAGGAATTTATTCCTACCTTCTAGGTCAATTCTTATATATTGACTCGGCTTACATAGCCAATACATTCGGATTAGATAATGATGGGATTTCAAATGAAAAACAGGTTTTAGGATCTCGTTATAAAAGAAGGGATAGTGCAAGTGTCCTAGACCTTCATGAACGTTTTCTTCATCTAATGATTTCTTGGTGGTTTCGACCATCCGGAGGTCGTTATTCTACTCTTAGAGCCTTAGATCTTTGGTGGTTACATTGTTTCGAAAACAATATTAAAATCAACCTACCTCATATTATTTTTGCTGAAATTGTTGAAACCGTAAATCTTGTTCCTAATAAAAAAACTCTGTTCATCTCTTGTTTACGATTGTATTTTGAGTAATCAGTTTTCCAAAGCTGGGCTTAGAGTCAGTCTAGATGCTGCTTTTCCTCTTAAGAAACAAATTAACCTTCTTTCCTTAACGAGAGCGGGATGGATTAAGGATAAGGAAACTGGTGAATGGGTTCGATCTTCTGCAAATACTCCGGGAGCTAGTTCTTCACAAGCTCCACCCGAAGCTGACGAAGATCTCGAGCTTGAGCAATTAATGCGAGACAACGATGAAGTCGAAGATGAACCTGAGCAGCCCGAGGAGCAGCCCGAAGAGCAAGCACAACAAATGCATCCAATGCCTCCATATTTCCAATCCTTTATGGAGACATTCGATTTTCGATACGCTACTATGGATTCGCGCTTTACTTCTATAGAGTCCCATTTATCCACAATGGGAGCTCAACAATTAGAAATTCTTCGGGAAATGCGTGCAAATAATGAAGCAACCAACGCACGTATCAATGACCTCACTAACGAAATGGCCGCTATGCGAGCTCGTTTTCCTCCTCCTAATCCGGATATGTGATTCAATGTTTTGCTTTGAACTCCAAACTTGTTGTTTTAACATTTTGAATATTTTGGAATGTTTGAATTTGTGGATTGATTGACTTTGAATTTGTTTGGATTCATGAATGGTTAGAAATTATCTATTTGGTGTGATTAAATTTATTCATTATTGCATCATTTACTTCATGATTAGATATATGACCAATTTTGCCATTTCACATTAATTATGAATATTGATTATGAAACTAATAGCTAACGTTTCTCTTGCTTGTGATCTTAGCAGCTTATATTATATATAATCAATTGGCTAAATGATTTCAAAACCTTGTTTAAATTCTTTAAAATGTCTTTTTGATTTAACAAAAAGGGGGAGAAGTGTTAAAGGTGTTTTTAAATGATAAATGGGAGAAGTGTTAAAGTAAGGGGGAGTAAATTTCAAAACTTGATTGATTTCAAAATCTTAAAATTACTAAAATGTTTTGTTATATCAAAAAGGGAGAGATTGTTGAAAACATTTTGATATTTCGATATAACAAATTAAGTTAAATGAATTTTAAGATTTTGATTTTCTAAGTATATTCGATAGAATTATTCGAATATCAAAACATTACTCCAAATCTTTCAAAGATCATTTTTAATCCTTACTCAAAGTGTAAAATTAAGTTTTAAACTTAAAACAATTTCAAAATAATTTTACAAAGTATTTCAAACCATTTCAAAGCCAAAAATTCCAGATTGCTCAGAGGGAACCGATTCCCCCTGAATGGTTTGGCTCAGAGAATTCCAGTATGCTTGGAGGGAACCGATTCCCCCCCCAGGGGGTACCGATTCCCCCTTGTATAACGGTCGAAATATTTGAATTTTACACTTAGGGAATCGATTCCCCACAGGGGGTACCGATTCCCCCCACGCTCCAAACTGTTTTATTAATTGTTTTCACACTAAAACGGCTATATTATTTTCTCTAATTATCCCCAACATTTAGAAGTGATTCAAGGTGTATTTAAGCAAGCTTAGAAGCCATTTATCAACAACAAGAAACATCAAGCAATTAGAATCAAGAGAGAATCAAAGAGAAAATATCAAACCTCAAGTTTGAGCATTTCAAGCCTATTTTTCATTCAATATTCATTTTGCTTTCAAGAACACTTATTGTGCTCAATTGTATTTATTCTTGAGTGTTCTTTCTTTGTTCTAGAATTGTGCAAACATATTTGCCTTGTGATGTTTTTCTTGTAAGTTTGCAAATTTGTATTTCTCTTTGAGAAAAGAGTGTTCTCAAGAATTGGGGTATATTCTTAAGGGAGTTGTAAGGTTATCTCTTTGGCCTCAAAAGAAAGAACAAATTAGTGAATTTGTTGGAAAATCCTTAGTGTGGATAGCTAAGGTAGTGGACGTAGACTTTGGTTGATAAAGTCGAACCACTCTAAATCGCTGTGCAATTTCTTTCAATTTTCTGCAAAAGCTTCCACCAAATTTTTTAATTGCCAATTCACCCCCTCTTGGCCATATTCGTCAATCGATTAACTCAACAGTATCAAAAGAGGATGATGGAGCACGTGATAAGAAAGTTCGACTCCGAGAATTTTACGAAGGAGATCTCGTGCTCAAAAGGATTTTACCTTTTCAAAAGGACTTCTGAGGGAAATGTATTCTAAATTAAGAAGGATCTTATATTGTAAAAAAGGTTTTTTCTGGAGGAGCTTTAGTCCTTACTGAAATGGATGGGCCAGAATTACCTTACCCAGTGAAGTATGAATTCTGACGCGGTTAAAAGATATTTTGCTTGAAAGGAAAAAAATATTAAAGATCAAGTGTTGTTCAACATTATGATTGAAGATAGGTTTCAGTATTGAAGATTTGGTGGTATAAGAAGGAACTCCACACCTTTATCACAATCTCGATATCCTTTCGACAGAAGCCACGCTTAAATCACTTTGTGGCGCGCCAATTCAAAAGCATTTGTGCTATTGGTATTTGAAGATGCCTACATTTTTTAGTAAAATTTGCCATGTATTTACTTAAACATTCTTTGCATGAATAAAAAAGAGACATTTTCTTGTTAATTATTTTTTAAAGCATCTTGCTTTGAAAATTTAAAAATTGAAGTTTAACTTGAGGTACATAAAATCTTGGTGTATTGTCATGCAAAAACGTTTTTGAAGAATATAGATATTATGAGGTTAACAATAATTTTAACATATGATGATATGATACATGAAACATTGAAGTATAGGAAATTTCAGATACTTGAAGATAATTTTAAATACTTGTCATTAATTGAATAGTTTGTCATTTGTACTGGTGGAATCAAGAAGAATAAAAACAGGTTTAGGTTCGACCAAAAAGAATCAAGGAGGTCATCTGAGATAAAATGATTATGTTTGTTGCACCCATGATGAGACTAAGTCAAGAATATACAACAAAAAGGGGTCTTCATTCGAAGAAAAATAAAATACCTTGAAACTTTGTCATTGCACACATTTTAGGCATAAATAGGATCATGACATTCATAAATGCATGATAGTAAACACAATATCACATCTGTAGGTTTTTCAAAAGAAAGCCGAAGGTTCAAGATATTGAAATTCTGAGATATGAGTAATCAACTCAAAATCCCTAAAAAGAGGGATATCCAAAGATTGCATGAGTCTAGTATCCACATAATAGTAGTGGAACAAGTTCTTTCCAATATTGCAGATTTGGTCTCTACGGGAGAGTAGTGGAAGCAAATCAACATTGAATCTGATCTTCACGGAAGAGTAGTGAAACATATTCTTTCAAGTCTATCCAATCTCCATGGAAGAGTAGTGGAGGCAAATCAACTTTGAATCTAATCTTCATGGAAGAGTAGTGAACCAAATTCTTTTTAAGTCAATCAAACCTTCACAAAAAAGTAGTGAAACAATGCAAATCTAGCCTTCATAAAAGAGTAGTGAAGTAGGAACATATCAAAAGTTCGATCTCCACAGAAGAGTAGTGGAACAAATTTTTATCAAAATATGAAGTCAATTGGACGAAAACTTCTTGTCTTTCTATCTTTGCTTTATTCTTGTTAACACAAAAATAAGCAAAGAGGGGCAGCTGACGACAGTTGTTTTCGTCCGAATTTGGTTTCACTATAATTATATAATTATATTATAATTATATTATTATTATATTATATTATATTATTATAACTAATAATTATAATTTTACAGGTTCAAATTTGACCCGAATGACTAGTTACAAAGCAAACCCTAAACACATATTACAACCAGACCCAGTTTCAACCCAGGTTTGACCTAAACAACCCAATAGGCCTAGGAAACTCAAATGCTGCTAGGGTTTCCCACATGCATCTCCAGCGCCACTAGCAACCATCATCGTTGGATCTGGAGAGACCCAACGATCCCAAGTGTGACCAACAGAAACCCTAGGGTTATCATTATAACCCTAGGGCTATTCCGGCCGCCGCCATAGTGTTATGATGCCCTCGCCGCCATTACTTCCAACCAGCAGCTTCCACGACACTGTCACATCCTCGCCGGATCCACGAGATCTGGGTGCATTTAATGCACCCAGTGTATACACCGCACAGATCATCACCCCTAGGTTGAGTCACCACCGTAGCTCTGGTGACTCACCATGGTTTACCCTTTTAACCGGACCAAAGGATGCATCGAAAGGCCTATAAAAGGCCGAACCTACAAGAGAGAAAGAGAGGACGAAGAGCAAGCCAAGGCAGCAACCAAACCATGAAAAAATCAAAAAAATATTAAGAGAATAGAGAGAGAAGTCTTAGCGTCGTCGGATAGTCAAACTTCGAAGGTAAAAATCCTAGATCTATGTTGATTTAGGGGTTTTTAGAATAAAAGGTTGTCGGATTTGGCTTTAGAACGATTCGGGCTTTATTTTGGTGTGTTTGGGTAAATTCCAACCACCGTGGGTGGTTGTCGGCGGCCGTTATCGGCGACGGCGCACGGTGATCGACCGGTGATCGATTTCCATCCGGTGAGGGAAAATATAGAGAGGCGCTAGCTTCTCTCTCTAAGAGAGAAAAGAAAATGAGAGAAATAAAGGTTTTAGGCCTAAATGACCGGTTAGTGGGCCATTTATACCCCTCCCCGAACGACGTCGTTTTGGGGAGGGCCTACGTGTAATTTCAGGTGTGGGAAAATTATGCCCGGGGTCCCTGTAACTTTGTAATTTAGTCATTAAAAGCATGTTTTGTGCATTTTAATTTAGTCTTTGAATTTTATTTACTTATGTTTTGGTCACTACCGCATATATATATATATATATATTAGAATAAATATCATATTTAGTCCTTAATATTTTTAATAATTTAGGGTAAATTATATTATTAGTATACAGTTTTAAAAATATTTTAAATTATGTTAATTAATTTTAGTATTTTGTATTTTAGACATTAATTATTAATTACACTATTAGTATTTATATTAGGATATGTAATTTTAATATTCAATATTATAATAGGATTATTAATATTTGTATTAAATACTATTAAGTAGTTATTTATTTTAATCCTGTGTAAATTAAAATTAGATACAAATTTATAATTTATTGCAAAGACAAAATCAATTAATAAACACCGGTACTAATTTTGGGGGTTATGGGGTGTTAATCCTTTCCCACACGTAACCGACTCCCGAATTCATTTTTCTGGTAAACAGACCTTTTTTGTATTATTTTAATATTATTCTCAGGAATTTTATTAGAATAATATAACATTTTGGTGATCAATCTCACCACATTAAAAGATTGATGGCGACTCTACAATTTAGTGTGTTTTACCTGATTCAAGGAAGATAAACACTTACTTTTTTGAGACTAGTTACACTTAGGTATACTATTTGCACTTTCCGTCGACGGGCATAGAAACGTCTCGACAATAATAATTCTTTAGTGTACAAACTTTGTATTTTACTCTTTCTTTATTATTGAATATTATATTTTTTATGTATAATGTACAATCATATATTTATATTTATTAAAAACATTGTATTGTGAAATATATGTTGTAAATTCATGTTTAACTTAGTTAATATGATAAATTTAATTTTGTATCATATGTTATTATTTTCTTATTAAGGCATTACCAAAATACAATATGAACTTGTTAGTATTATTATTACCTAATTTTCAAATTAATCTAATTATTTGAATTATATTATTAGTAATTTTTTGTACATTAATTAATTAAACAAAAAATTGGATTCATAATATTTTTTTTGGAGGGAATGAATATATTTTCGGGTAGAATGCCAATAAATTTTCCCCCTTTTTTTCTTAAAAAATTAATATTTAAATTTCTAACGGAAAAAATGTAATCCATCGGAAATTAAAAATTCAAATTTTCTTTTTATCTTTATAAATATCCGAAGGTAAAGATATGTTCATCAAAAACATAAAATATATTATTATATATATATCACTACAGCAAAACCGGCTTTTTGCAGCGTGTTTTTTACATATAGCGACGTTTTTAAGCGCCGCTAAAAACACATGCGGCGTTATGACAAACGTCGCAAAAAGCGCCGCTGAAAATAGCATCGCTAAAGTTCGTGGCGTTTGTTAATGAAAAACGCCGCAATAGGTGACGATATATAGCGGCGTTTGTTGAAAAAACGCCGCAATAGGTGTTGCTATTTAGCGGCGTTTGTCTTAAAAATGCCGTAATAAGTGTTGTCGTTTAGCGGCGTTTTTCCCCCAAACGCCGCAGTAGGTATCGTTGTTTAGCGGCGTTTTTCCCAAAAAGGCCGCAATAGGTGTTGTTGTTTAGCGGCGTTTTTCAAACAAGCGCCGCAATAAGCGTTGAGATTTTGCGGCGTTTTTATCGAAAATGCCGCTACATGTTATGATATTTAGCGACGTTTGTGGTAAAAAAACGCCGCTAATAACTATGTATATAGTGGCGTTTTCTTCACAAAACGCCGCAAAAGAACCTGACTTCTGGTGACTTTTATTTACAAACGCCGCTATGGTTATCTGATTTCGTATATATCATTTTCTATTTTATATTACGTAAATTTAATATTCTATAGCATTATCTAATAACAATAAACTTAAAATTTAATTACGACACAAATTATGTAGAAAAATAAATCAAAATTTATAAAATAAAATTAAAATGTAACATGGTTCAACATTGGTCACTACAATATCATTGAAAGCTCAACTGACAAAAAAAGAAGGAAAAGATGCATGTTCTGTTCTTGGAACTACCGCAAAATAGTCTCTGCCTCAGTCCGAACTTTTGTATCCACTGATTGGGCAGCCAGCAGAAATTTAGTGATCTCCATAGCCATTTTAACTAACCTGCAATTGGAAACAAAAAACACTATTCAACATTGATGAATAGGACACAAATACATCACTAGAGATTGCAGCCAGTTATAACTGAACAATATCAAACAGTCATATATAGTAATAATCATGGTTGGAGCCTTGGAGCAGATGTTGAAGGAACGAACTTATCAAAACCACACAAGTTATCCGGAAAACATAAATCAACATTTACCAAGCTTAATATAGAGTAGAATATCATTGCCAATGATAGGTCAACAGTGAAAAATATGCTAAAATAGTGAAATCATACTTAAATCCCTATACTTAAATAAGAATATTAAAATTTCACGTGCATGCAGTAACTTCTTTGTTCAATTTCTTAATCGTTGTCCCTCTCAATGATATTGTCATATTATTTGATTTTGAAGTTCAACCTAAACGAAGAAATAAAAGCATTACAATTTAATGTTTCTAGGGTCTATCTTACAATTACATAAACCCAAAAGTTCTTCAAACCCCCTTCGCACAATTACAGAAATCAAACACAACGGTTACTGAAAAGAATAAGAGAGAGAGGGACTCACATTAAGGGGGCCAATAATAGTCCCAGTCCATGACTGCATGTATATATCATCAGTATCATCCATTCCATAGCTAACAGTTCCATCCCCAATTCCCTTTTCTCCCATCTCAAGCTCTTCCAGCAATCTGAAATTCTTGGGCACTACACAAAACCATACATTTTAGTCCCGATGTCATAATTGTAACAAAGTCATGTATGAAGATTTTATGAAGACCGTCCTTAAAAAATTCAGTTCTAAAAAATATTTAAAACAAAAGTTTCTTCAATAGCAAAAAGTAAAATCCAATAATTAAAGAACAATAAACATGGAAAAAGCATGAACTAACTCCGCATTGCAATGAAGACAATCATATTTAAAATGAAGAAAGCAGTAATTCTGGTTTCACCAGTACAGACCAAAATAACATCATAACATAATAACAACAAATGAGTGAAACATTCCAGTGAAGCACAAGAAGTTATATTTTGATCAAGATGGAAATGACCAAATCAGATAATACATACAAGGATGAATATGTTTAAGCATTTTTTATATCAATGAAGTTGTGAATCACCAACGAAAGTTAAATATACAATGAACTCTGCTATGAAACTAGCACATAACAAAAATTTCTTCTTTCTCCTTTGCAACTTGCTTTTTTTAATTAAACATATAGATTAGTACCTGGGAACTTTTTACTTCCGATTTAAACTTTTTACAACCAAAAATTACACCGTAAAAGCAAACAACCTCGAAACTAGCTAGATCTAACCATTACCTCTCCTCCCAACAAGAAATTTTGGCATAACAGTAGGAAACGACCCTGGGACAATTGAGTTAAGAACTAACAGGAACTAAAACGGACATGCACTACACCGCACCCCTAACAAACAGTACCAGTTATATCCCAAAAATGCAACAATAAACTAACAAAAGTGTAAAGATCACACAAATTGTGATTACCTGAAGAGGTCCCGCAGCTGCCAGACTGAACGAATTCTTGTTAAACTGAATCATGAACCCATCAAGAGCGATCTGTGTGTTATTCTCAAACAGCAAGCTGTAAAATATTTGATCATCCTGTCGTGTTAACTGTGCACTGATTTGCAAACCTTGTCCAGTTGATGCTGGTAACAAAATAGGCAAAGGGGGCTGCAATCATAAAGGTAAAGAAAATACAGTAAGTGCAACAATATAGGCATGCATGTTATCTATAAGATACATAACTAATAACATAAAAAGAAACCTAGACTGTTTTGGTGTAAGAAACTTGTTTTTTAAAATATTTATAACATTTGCAGCAAAATAAGACTTCTATCTGGAAAACGAATGCATTCCAGCATACTTACCCAGCAGATGTAGCATGCTGATCGGCGGGGACAATTTGATTGTTATCAAGACCAATCAGATCACCTAATAGATCAGGCACCTGATGGGCAGGGGCAGGAGCTGGCTGGCTAGCAGCAGCATATGGGATGCTACTTGAACTGGTTGGTGGTGATGCACCACCATTGGCAGCATTTGAAAGTGTTTCAGAATACTTGGTATCACTTCCATCAGGGTAGTCATCATCTTCAGTTCTTGGAGTTGCAGTCTTTGTTCGGGTTACAAAAGCATCAGGAGGTTTGTGATAGACAGAAGATAGCGTAGCTATGTTGGCAAGAAGCTCATCAAGAAGGGATGAATCTAATTTATTTGAATCATCACTGATCACAGGTTTCTCAGCTAACACAACATCCTTAGCAGCCTGACAGAACAAATAGAAAATCAAAAACATCCTCCATGCAATCTAGATGTAGTGTACCTTTAAATAAAGACGCATTCATGTCAGCAAAGACATCTACATTCAAATATCTATCGCGACCCAACTATTGATACTAGCTACATTCCAAGAGAAGACGACCATACATGGACAGGAAAAACTGTTATATAAAAGACGCATGCTAATAATACCAACATGGTGAAAGGTATTCTAAACCTCAGCTTAATCATATAGTATGCCAATCCTCAGAGCAGTCCTTAGAACGGAGATGAAGGTAATTCGAGAAAAATAGTAATCTAGCCCTTCCCCTCCAAGGTAAGAAAGGAAATAAAGATCAAAATGATTCCTCGGACTTTTTAAACTAAAATCATTGAATAGTGAACTGCAATTGGTTAGAATAAAAACATACCTCAGGATCAGTTGATAAAAGACGCCAATAAATGTATGCACGGTCCCGTAAATCAGGATTGTCAGTTTCCACTGTAGCATTATTCAATACAACCTATAAAAAGTCCATAATAGAAGTTAGATAGGATATGGTGTCTCCAATATATTTACTTTATTTTCCTTAAACAATCAATCTTTCTGCAGTAGACAGACATAGATGCACAGTCAAAAACACATACAATAATTTTCCAGATACATTACATCAACAATAAGCAGTTAGCATAACTTGTATAACCAGATAGTTATGGCATAGCAGTCATATATCCAGTAGTTATTGCTCTTGGAAAAGTAAGATAAATACTATGCCTGAATTCCCTATGAAAATAATACAATTTGGCATTCCTCTAGATCTGTTTTCTCATATTTCAAAAAAATGATTCTTTTATTTTCTTTCTTCAGGACATATTTGTAGTTTTGTACACATTGTTGGAGCCTCGAGAATAATAAGAAAAAGAATAATAAATCAAGGCACAAAACGGAGTAAAAGAGAGAACAAATTGAACCTGCACTACAAGAGGTAGGAAGATCTTTATGGAGACCCTTGAGCTCCTTCAAGACCCGCTTTACATAAATAACCTAAACCCTAAAACATCACAAAAATTATTTGGAAAAAATAAGGAAAATGAAATCCAAGGTAGAACGCCTTTGAAGATTTTAAAGCAAGCCCAGAAATTTTTAAATTTAAAGAGAAACAAAACAAAGAAGTGAATGAGAAATTAGAGAGGGGAAAAAGAAGTATCCGATAGAAATCCCCCTTTCGTAGCTATTGTTGGGTAAACGGGGAAACCTTTGATGATAAAATATCCAAAACTTGCAGCGTTTGTATTTAAAACGCCACTACTTCACTAACTTATTGCGGCGTTTGTTTAAAAACGCCGCTAATGGACCGATTTCTTGCGGCGTTTTTTAAAAAACGCCGCTAATGTTACTATTTTGTGGCGTTTGTATTTAAAAACGCTGCTAATTCACTGATTTATTGCGGCATTTGTAGAAAAACGCCGCTAAAGTACTACGTCGTCGCGACATTTTTTGCATAAACGTAGATAAAGAACCCTATTGCGGCGTTTATATAAAAACGCTACTAAAGTACTCTTTATTGCGACGTTTGTTGGAAAAATGCCACTATGAACAAACCCTATTGCGACGTTTGTATAAAAACACTGCTAAAGTACTAATCTATCGCGGCGTTTGTTAGAAAAACGCCACTATAAACGATCTCTATTGCGGCGTTTGTATAAAAACGCCGCTAAAGTACTAATTTATAGCGGCGTTTGTTTAAGAATCGCCGCTAAAGTATCGTTTTGTGGCGTTTGGATTATAAACACCGCTATATGCTTAAATTTTGTGGCGTTTACTCTCCAAACGCCGCTAAAAACGCTGCTACAGAACAGTTTTGCTGTAGTGTATATATATATAATATTCCAACGGATTTTAAATATTTCATCACTAATATATTGACGGATTTTCGTCAATAAAACGGACTAGTTTATGTCCTCGGAAATATTGGTTTCGACCAGCATTTTATTGACTAGTCTCTTCCCTCGTAAATTCCATTACTAAACTCAAATTCTGTCAGCAATTAAACATTTTTTTTGGTAGTGCTCGTTTACTGAGGGCTACTGCGACTTTCGAATAGAAGTGTTTGATGGCTGCTTCCAGCCTTCATCAGGTCCATTGTCACATTAAAACCTCTATCGAAACTGTGATAACATTTCTACACAACATGGCCAAATTTTCCACACAACTGGCACTGAGGTATGATCGAGTTGTTGTTCCTACCATGAACCCGTCCTCTATAGCCATCACCTTGGTGACTTTTAACTTAAGCAACCTACTTCTTAGACAAGTTAACTTCCAAAGCTTCTTTTGCACTCAACACACCATCGTCCTTATTACTCGAACGAACAACCATGTTAACTGAGGTTCCTTCACTGAGAAACAATGTTTGTCCAGCTTCACAGTCCAAAAGCATTCAGTGAGCACTTCCAGGGACAATGACTCACGAGAGGTTATAGCAATGATGGATTCAAACTCCATGGACAACCCTGCCAAAACAACACACATGCTCTTACTCAGGGACCAAACTCCCTGCTGCATTTAAAATATCACAACCGATTTAACCTTTGCAAGGTACTCAATGACAAACCGCCCTTCCTTTTGAGAGTTAAGGCTATGCCTAAACGATGAGAACTTAGCATTAGATCGAGCCCTAAACAAACGTGAAATGGCATTCCAAATGGTGACGGCAGATGAAAGACCAGTAAGATGAGGAAGAACTTCAGTCCTCAGACTGGTTAAAAGCCAAGACGCCAATAACTTGTCTTGTTGTCTATACACCGTGAATGTTGGATTCTCTTTAACCTGCCCTAATTTAGTCGTGAGAGACTCACTCAGAGGAATATTGTCATCAGAAATAAATCTAAGCTAACCATAACCGCCAATGATTAGAGTTACTTGATGTTTCCAGAGAAGATGAATACTCTCAAAAAGTTTAACAACGTCTTGTTTGAGAACATGCTAAATATTGGAGAAATTCGAACTAGCAACCGCCGAATTCATAGCAGAAAAAGATTAAGAAATAGTAAAAACATCAACAAAGAATAACAATAGTTAAGAAGAAGGTAAAAAACTGACTGCAAAGTCAATCTGATCTAGATCCAAGAATACCAAAAAAAAAAACAACCAAAATGCTTGCCAAACAATGATTCAACACAATCTAAACATACTTGTGGGCAACCGGTAATTCATGCGCGCAGATATAGTACATAAGCAAAAAAGAAGTACAACCAACGAAGAGGAGTGAAAAATACCAACCGCATAACCATCAAATCTAACACATCTTTCTATCAAAGCTCAATCGGGCACCACAGAGAGGAGAAAATAACACCAAACAACGGACAACATAACACCAGGATTAAGCGACTAATACTATGTTAAGATAGCAATAAAGCTATCTACAGAGATAATGGAAAAGGTAACAAGAGAGAAATAAGAAAGTATTTGAGTAACATTATATTCTTTACAACCTATTTTTACAATGCAAGAGCTGGCCATTTATACTAAACAGAAGCAAGACGATTCGAGAGATAGAATGAGAAGCTAAATGAAAACCCTAACCTCCTAACAAACTCATGCATGCAACGTGGGAGAGGTGACACGTCATACACCAGTCAAGTGTGATAGACCCCACCTAGTCTATATACTAACATGTTACGATAGAGTGAAGCTATCTACAAATATAATGGAAAAAGGTGACGAGAGTGAAATAACAAAACATTTGAGTAACATTCTGTTCTTCACAACCTGCTTTAACAAAGCGCAAGAGCTTGTCATTTATACTAAACAAAAGCAAGACGATTCGAGAGAAAGAGATTGAGCAGTTAACATAAAACCCTAACCTCCTAACAAACTCATACATGCAACGTGAGAGAGGTGACACATCATACACCGCTCAAGTGTGATAGACCCCACCTAATCTGTACACTAACATTCACCCAAAAACGTAAGCATTCAAACTGTTTTAAACTTCAACAGTCACCTCATTACTTCCATCAAAGTGAAATGTCCCAACTCAACATGAAGAATTTCAGACTAGTGACCAACAAATGAGACAATTTAATACAACTCTAGAGGATTTTGACGAGTGTGTTTAAAGATTGAAGAGAAAATGAATTAAAGGGTTTTAAAAGTGGCATATATACTTCACCCAAAACGTACAATTTTGGCATAAATCTAGATTTTATCTGTGTGGGACCTAATTTGATACGAAGACAATCCATGTATTTTACTTTAAATTGGGGTGATTACAATCCTGGTTATTTACCTTTTGAACTACAATTCAATTCAATCTTAGTCATGCTATTTATATACAAATTTGGCATTGTAAGTGTCATAACCGTCCTTAAGCTTTTTAGGGCTCACTGCTGGGATCGATCCAACTTAATATTGGGAAAAGGTTGAGTTTAAAAATAAAACAAATAAATATTTTCGGAGTCGCCATCGACCTTTGGGTTAGGTAAGTCAAATACCTAATAATACCTTTTAAAATAATTTTAAGAAAAAAATTTAAAAGATAAAAAATTATCTACATTTAACCAGAAATTCATTTTGAAAAAGGGTTCGGGAGTCGATTACGTGTGGGGAAGGATTAGCACCCCCCCCCCACAACGTCCAAAATCGATACCTAAACGATTATATGTCATCTAAATATTGAAATTGGAAAATTCGAATATACATTTAAATTATGAGCCTTTTTTAGAAAGAATATCAGGGGTATTGTTTTGCACAAACAATTCTCGAAAATACATTCCTTCTCAGTTAAGGGGCACTCCCATGAATTCCCCATAAAAAAAATATTACCCAAGTTTTTAGATAAAATACATATATTAAATATATTAAAAAAATTATTAAAAATAAAATATATTATTTTGTTCGAACAATTCTTGAAAACACATTCCTTGTTAGTTAAGACGCGTTTCTATAAATTCCTCGAGTTAAATAATATTTGAAAATATTACAACTAGCAAGTAATTAACAAATATATGAACAATGAATCGAAATAATAAAGATAGTAACTTTAGGGATTAAAATATACAACCAACAAAAAATAAAGGCAACCATTGCAAATATTTCACAAATTAGGCACTGCAATCATAAATAAACCAAATACAATCTTTTATGACCAAAATAGAAATTGTTAAAGTAAGGCACTCAAATTAAGATACTTCTAAAAAATAAGATAATAAGTGAAATGGGACTAAAATGAAATAAAAATAAAAAACAGTATCCAAATCATAAACATCAGTGATTAAAATGCATAAATTGAAAATTTCATATCTAAATTATAATTAAATAATAAACAGAACCCAAACAGTGGCTAAAATGAATATAAATAATAACTAGTGACAAAATTATAATAAATTACAATAATAAAAATGACTAAATTGTAACAAATAAAAATTATAGCACAAAATTAAAGAAATAAACTAAATTGGGGACTAGTGACTGAAATAGAAAAACACGCATAAAGTATAGGGACCTGAAAGAAAATAAACCCA